ATCATTAATCACTCTTCTGAACAGATAATAATAATAAAAGTAAGAATGAAAGTTAATTTGTCGATTTTCCAATTGAAATAAAAAAAATATTTTTCTTCCATTTATAATTTTATATGAAGGAGTGAGGGATGTGACACAGAACAGATTAAGAACGACTGTTCTAGACACTGGTGGTTAGCAATTTTATATATATGGTTGAGTTTCAAGTACTGTACCATGTCTTCAACAGTGCTTCCAGTTGTTGTAATTCATGGTGGCCTACATGATCTCGATAAGATGGCGATATTCCACGTTGAATATCGCCATCTTATTTCTGCTTGATTTATAGTATATCTAGTTTTCTGTTAGAGCAGAGTACCACGAAGAACAAATAACAATGTGCATGACACTGTACAAGAGCTAGACACAGTGTCCTGCCAGCCACGGTAGGTAGGCACTGTGCATGTATGTACAGAAACTTTATCCAGGAATTTTTATTACCACAATGTTTATCACTATTAATTTTGCTGACATGCATGGATCAAAGGATATGCCCAGATATTTCACTGAAGTACTGTTGTCATGGGTTCCCTGGCACAACAGTACATTACAAATATTTGATGTGCGGTGCAACGGGGAACTCATCATATATCAATACGTTCAGTGAATTATCTGGAAACACTCTTTGATCCTTCCATGTCAGGAAAACTGGAAGTGATCAACGTAGTACAAAAAAATGCGAGGGGTGTGCTGATGTTGGGAGGGAGGGAGTGAGGGAGGACAGAAGGAAGTGTTAGCACACAATACGTGTACATGAGGATGAATAAGATCACTATATGATTAACACCACACCATCCACCAACATACTACAACAACCACACCATCCACCAACATACTACAACAACCACACCATCCACCAACATACTACAACAACCACACCATCCACCAACTATACAACAACAACCACACCATCACACCAACCATAACTACAACAACCACACCATCCACCAACATACTACAACAACCACACCATCCACCAACATACTACAACAACCACACCATCCACCAACATACTACAACAACCACACCATCCACCAACATACTACAACAACCACCCCACCATCCACCAACATCACTACAACACAACCACACCATCCACCAACATACTACAACAACCACACCATCCACACAAACAACCCCCCAACCAACAACCACACCATCCACCAACATAACTACAACAAACCACCACAACACACCACCAACATCCCACTACAACAACCACACCATCCACCAACATACTACAACAACCACACCATCCACCAACATACTACAACAACCACACCACCACCAACATACTACAACAACCACCACCACCAACATACTACAACAACCACACCATCCACCAACATACTACAACAACCACACCATCCACCAACATACTACAACAACCACACCACCACCAACAACTACAACAACCACACCATCCACCAACAACACACACCACACCATCCACCAACATACCAACAACAACCACCCACACATCCACCACCACCATCACCAAATACCAACAACCCCCCCCCACACACATCCACCAACATACCACAACAACCACACCACCAACCATACAAACCACAACCACCACAACTACACCACCACACCATCACCAACTACTACCAACCACACCATCCACCAACATACTACAACACCACACCAAAATCACAAACCCACATCCACCAACATACTACAACAACAACCCACATACACATCACACCAACATACACAACAACCACACCATCCACCACATACCACAACAACCACACCATCCACCAACATACAAACACCACACCATCCACCAACAACACAACCAACATCCACCAATATAACACACCAACATCCACCAACTACAACAACCACACCATCCACCAACACACAACAACCACACCATCACCAACATACCAGAACCACCACACCATCCACAACATACCACAACAACCACACCATCCACCACATACAACAAACCACACCAATCCACACACCATACTCACAACAACCACACCATCCACCAACATACCACAACCAACACACCAATCCACCAACATACTACAACAACCACACCATCCACCAACATATACAACAACACACCATCCACCAGATAACCACACAACCACATCCACCACAACAATACACCACACCATCCACCAACATACCACAACAACCACACCATCCACCAACATACAACACACCACACCATCCACCCACAACCTGACCAATCCCATCACCAACACACCTGGTATCATTCACAACTGGAGCCAAACCCTAAGACGGTAGACCACTGGACTCAAAGCCAGCTGGGGATTCGTACGTGGGATTCCCTTGGTTGCGTGCGCCAGCAGTAACAGCCTCGTTGATCAGGCTCTGATCCACCGGGAGACCTGGTCGTGGACCGGGCCGCGGGGGCGCTGATCCCCGGAATGCCCTCCAGGTAGACTCCAGGTAGACACCTGAACCAACACCCAGGGTTCACCAACACACCTGACCCAACACCCAGGGTTCACCAACACACCTGAACCAACACCCAGGGTTCACCAACACACCTGAACCAAAACCCAGGGTTCACCAACACACCTGATCCGTCACCCAGGGTTCACAAACACACCTGAACCAACACTCAGGGTTCACAAACACACCTGAACCAACACTGACCTGGACACCAGATGTAAACAGACCTGGAAGCCAGATATAACTAGACCTGGAGGCCAGATATACCCACACTTGGACGCCAGATATACCCACACATGGAGGCCAGATATACCCACACCTGGAGGCCAGATATACCCACACCTGAAGGCTAGATTTACCCACACCTGGAGGCCAGATATACCCACACCTGGAGGCCTGATATAGCCAAACCTGGAGGCCAGGGTTCACCAACACACCTGAACCAAAACCCAGGGTTCACCAACACACCTGATCCGTCTCCCAGGGTTCACAAACACACCAGAACCAACACTCAGGGTTCACAAACACACCTGAACCAACACTGACCTGGACACCAGATGTAAACAGACCTGGAAGCCAGATATAACTAGACCTGGAGGCCAGATATACCCACACCTGGACGCCAGATATACCCACACCTGGAGGCCAGATATACCCACACCTGGAGGCTAGATTTACCCACACCTGGAGGCTAGATTTACCCACACCTGGAGGCCAGATATAATCAGACCTGGAGGTCAGATATAACTACACCTGGAGGGCCAGATATACCCACACCTGGAGGCCTGATATAGCCAAACCTGGAGGCCAGATATAACTAGACTTGGAGGCCAGATATACCCAAACCTGGAGTCCAAATATAACCAGACCTGGAGGCTAGATATAACCACACATGGAGGCTTGATATCAGAATATTAGGTCAATCAGCTCTGAAAGGCAGAGCTAGGAGCTGAGTTGATCCCAGCTATGTACCAACCTGGAGGGCATTCCGGGGAACAACGCCCCCGGTCCGGTACACGACCAAGCCTCCCGATCGATCAGGGTCTGATCAACGAGGTTGTTGCTTCTGGCCGCACGCAGTCCAACATACGAACCACAGCCTGGCTGATCTGGCACCGACTTTAAGTATCTGCCCAGTTCCTTCTTGAGGGCAGCCAGGAGTCTATTGGTAATTCCTCTTATGCATGGTGTGAGGCTGCTGAGCAGTCTTGGCCCTGGACACTTACTGTGTTTTCTCTTAGTGTATCAATGGCGCCCCTACTTTTCATTGGAGGTATTTTGAACCGCCTGCCCAGTCTTTTGCTTTCATATGGAGTGATTTGTGTGTGCAGATTAGGGACCATTCCTTCTAGGATTTTCCAAGTGTATATTATGATAGCTCTCGCCTGCGTTCCAGCGAGTACAAGTCAAGTGCTTCTAAGCGTTCCCAGTAGTTAAGGTGTTTGATGGAACTTACATGTGCAGTAAAGGTTCTTTGTACATTCTCTAGATCTGCAATTTCACCTGCTTTGAACGGCGATGTTAATGTACAGCAATATTCCAGCCTATAGAGAGCAAGTGATTTGAAAAGAATTATTATTGGCTTGGCATCTCTTGTTCTGAACGTTCTCATTATGCATCCTATCAACATATTCGCAGTTGTGAGATCCTCAGACATTACTACTCCCAGATCCTTCACATTACTTTTCCGCTCTATTGTATGATTCGAGTTTGTAGTATACTCAGTTCTAATTATCTCCTCCAGTTTTCCATAACGGAGTAACTAGTATTTGTCTTCACTGAACATCACATTGTTTTCCATTGCCCACTGGAAAACTTAGTCTATATCTTCTTGGAGGTAACCGCGTCCTCAACAGATGACACCGCGTCCTCAACAGATGACAGTCTCATGCAGATCCTAGTATCATCTGCAAAGCAAGACACGGTACTGTGGATTATATATCTGTATGTCTGAAATGAGAATGAGGAACAGGATGGGGGCGAGTACTGTGCCTTGTGAAACAGAGCTTTTCACTATGGCAGCTTCCGATTTAACTCTGTGTTCGACTGGTTAGAAAAGTGAAGATCCAACTTCCTACTTTGCCAGTTATTCCTTTAGGACGCATTTTGTGCGCTGTTACACCATGATCGCACTTGTCAAAGGCTTTGCAAAGTCTGTGTATATTACATCTGCATTCTGTTTGTCTTCCGTGCATCCAAGACCATATCACAGTGATCTTGCACAAGTTACTCAGTTACTGAGTGTCACAGTTACTCAACGTATGGCTCATTCTAGTAACTCAGTAACAGTGTCACAGTTACTCAACATCTGCGTCACTCAGTATCACAGTTACTCAACATCTGGCTCACTCAGACCACAGTTACTCAACATCTGGCTCACTCAGGATCACAGTGACTCAACATCTGCGTCACTCAGGATCACAGTGACTCAACATCTGCGTCACTCAGGATCACAGTTACTCAACATCTTGCGTCACTCAGGTAACACTAAAATCAATGTAAATATATAAGTTTGTTCTTACCGTAGTACTGTGTAACAATGGTCACAGCCTCACCTGCAACACACAAAGTAACACATTAGTACATCATATAACACAAACAGTAGCCACAACAATTCTCAGAAAGTTCAGTTTAGCACACAACCGCAGAGTTGAAACAACGACTAGCAGAGATAACGTCATACATCACAGCTATCACACAGACAAAGCTGACCGAAATGGTTTCAGATTCTGTATTCCTAGCAAGATATCAAGTGATATGGAGAGACAGATTGAACGGGACCATCAATACTGAGCAATATTCTAAACGAGGGAGCACTAGCGATTTGAAGAGTGTCACCATCGGCATTATTTCCCTCGTTTTGAAAGTTCTCAACACCCACCCAGTCATTATCTTGGCTGTCGTGATCTTTATCTTAATATGTTCTTTAAAAGAAAGGTCAGCCGACATAATTATTCCCAGGTCTTTTACGTGTTTCTTTCGTTCTATTTGGTGACACTCTTGAGTTTTGTATGTAGTGCTCCTTTTGAGGTCTTCATTCTTTCCATACCTAAGCAGCTGGAACTTATCACCATTGAACGTCATGATGTTCTCCACTGCCCACTGGAAAACCCTGTTTATGTCTTCCTGTAATTTTTCAGTGTCCTCTACCGTACTGACTTTCATGCTTATTTTAGTGTCATCTGTAAATGATACAAAAGTTTGACGGGTGTTTTTATCTAAGTCTGCTATGAGGATGAGAAACAGCAGAGGTGCCTTGGGGCACTGAGCTTTTGACCGCTCTGATGCTGGATCTTGCCCTGTTCACTACTACTTTTTGTGTTCTATGTGTTAGGAAACCGAAAATCCATCTACCTTTCCCGTAATGCCCATGGCCCTCATTCTGTGCGCTATATCTCCATGATTGCATTTATCAAACGCCTTTGCAAAATCTGTGTAAATCACATCTATGTTTTGGTCGTCTTCCAGTGCCTCCGTAATTCTGTCACAATGGTTCAGCAGCTGTGACAGGCATGATCGTCCTGCTCTAAAATCATGCTGGTTTGGGTTATGCTGGTCCATAAAATTTGTAATCTGCCGTCTCATCACTCTTTCAAAGATTTTTATGATGTGAGAAGTTAGGGCTACTGGTCTGTAATTTTTAGTTAGTGTTCTACTACCTCCCTTATGCACTCTTTAAGGCCTCCGGTATTTCACCTAGATCTAAGCTCTTTCTCCAAAGAATAGTGAGGGCTCGTGCTAGTGGTACTCAGAAAAATTAATAGGAGACACAGGGATAAACTGTTAAGGGCAGGAAACAAGTACCCTGCAGCACAGTTGGAAGTTTAAGACCCAGACGAACCACCGGGATGTCAGGCGGTATTTCTTCAGTCTCATGGGGTCGGAAAATGAAACGACTTCGAAGTGGAGGAGGTTGGCTCCTTACATAGTGGCAAGTTGTGGGGCAGGGCCAAGAGCTAAGACTTAATTCCTACAACCATATATAGGTGAGTGCAAATAGGAGAGTATAAAACACAAAACATGCACACACACACACACACACACATATACACACACACATATACACACACATATATACACACACACACACACACACACACACACACACACTACAATGTGGCGAAATATCATGTATACAATATACAGATAATTTTTGCAACAGATACCTTTTTACAGTGATGACTAATTACTTTTAACCCGCTATTACATAAGTTAGAATGTTTACAAACCAATTCCTTTCCCTGTCAACAGAGAATGATTACCAATTATACTGTGACAACACTTCACTCGCCTCCTGCGGAGACAAATACAACAGTGTGTTATTAAGGAAAGATTACAAAGACCACCACCACCACCACTACTACTACTACTACTATTACTACTGCTGCCAATGCTGCTACCAACAGCACACTAACATACCAGTAGGAGTCACTTACAATTATGTCCTTACATAAGTTTACATACACAAAAGATCTTGATAGTTCTTAATGTGCCTGACTTACCTGCCACAACTTATCCACAGTAGCAACCACAATTACTTACACTCACCATACTAACAACAACCATCACCGTTGACAGTAAGTACCACAACCACCCAAGTAACAACGATAATTACCGAGGTGACTAACCAGTACAACAGACACCACATAACCACAAATTATTACAATCACCAGAGTAACCCCAACAATCACCACCAGTTAGTTACAGTAGTGTATGTAGAAAGTATAATGATACCTCAAGGATGTTTCCCGGGGTAAACGCCCCCGCGAGCCCGGTCTCAGGCCAAGCCTTCTGGCGGATCAAGGCCTGGTTAACCAGATTGATACTGATGGCCACACAGTCCAACGTACGAACCACAGCCTGGCCGATCAGAAATTGATTTGAAAAACTTGTCCAGTTCAATATTAAAGTCTGATTTTCGCTGATAATTGCCCTCATCAACGAAGGAAAGCACTGAAAAGTCGGAGACCTCTGACACTCATCGAGGTCTCTCACTGTACTTGTCGTACCCCTGGTTACTTTTTAGTGTAAGTATTTTGCACCATCTGTCAAGTATCTTGTTATATGGACTGATTTCAGCATTTAGGCTTGGGACTAATCTCTCCAGGATTTTCCAGATGTAACTTATGATGCACCTTTCTTGCCTACATTTCAAGGGGAATTTCAGGCGTATCTAGTAAAAATATCGGAGTTCATACGAGCAATGATAGTTCTGTGCGCACTGTCTAGCTCGGCAATCTCGCCTAACTTTAAAGGGAACCGTCAGTATACAGCAGTATTCTAGCCAGAAGAGAACAAGAGACTTGAAGAGTATCATCATTGGCTCAGCATCTCTTGCTCTGAAAGTTCTAGGAACCACCTATTATTTCCTACGTAGCAATGTCAAACTATTGTGATCCTTGAATTGGGAAGCCCTGACATCATTACTCCCAAAGTCTCCAATGGAACTTCAGCTCTTTTGAAAGTTTGTTTTTGTCTGTCTTCACTGCGCCCCTGTATTGTTCCATTTTTCCCACACAGAACAACGAAACTTTCCTAATTAAACTCATATTTGTCTCCCGTCAACTGAAAAGTGGATTCCTTCTTCCTAAAGATTACTGGGGTTTTGATGACCCCACTCTGACATTTTGGTGTTATTACAAAGGATGCTACGATTATAATATAAAAAAATTTATATATATTATATATATATAATATATAAAATATATAATATCATATATATATATAGGCAGAATTGCGATTTTGGGCTTAAATAGCAACGCTCATTTGCCAATAGACAAGCGAAAATTTGTGAGCAATAATTTCCCCAAAAAATCATTTGAACCAAGAAAAAAAAATATTTACTGTGTTTGTTAAAGTATTAAATTTTTGAAACAAATCAAAATATATTTAGTTGGGTTAACTAAATAAATTGATCTTGTTTTTAAAAGGTTAGGTAAGTTTTCTAAATTCTTTTGGGGCAAAATTATAAATTTTTTCATTTAAAATTAATGAAAAAAATATCTTAAACGTATAAAAAAATTTTTGAAAACTTAATTTTTAAAAGATTTTGCTAAATGACCATTTTTTCCTATTCGGGACGACATTTTTATATAAAAATTTTAATTTAAAATATTATTATATTTATATAATATATATATAATTTTAATATATATATTTTAAAAAATTTATATATATATAAAATTAATAATTTATATATTATTTATATATATATAAAATTTTTATATATTTTAAATTTACAAATTTTAATATATATAATTTAATATATAACAATTATATTAAAAAATAAAATTTTAAATTTAAAATAATATATAATAATTTTAATTTTTTTAATTTAATATATATACATAAATTTTTAATTTTAAAATTAATAAAATATATATAATTTTTATTATAAAATTAAATAAATATATATTATTATATATAATATAATTTATAATATTTTAAAAATATTTATATTTAAAAAAAAACATATATAATTTATAATATATTAATTTATATAACATAATTTTATATTAAAAAATAATTTATATATATATATATTATATATATTATATTATATATAAATTTATATATAATATACATATAATTTATATTATTATAATATATAATATTATTATATATATAATTAATATATATTAAATTATATATATATAATATATTATATATATATATATTTATATATATAATATATAAAATAATATATATTTATATTATAAAATTATATATATATATATATATATATATATAAATATATAAAATTTTATATAATATATATATATATATTATATATATTATATATATATATATATATATATATATAAATATAAAATATATTTTATATAATATATATATAAATTTTTATATATTAAAATAATAAAATATATTTTATATATAATAAAAATTTTAATTTTAATATATATATAATATAAATAAATATTTTATAAATATATATATATATAAAATATATAAATATTATATATATTTTATATATATATAAATAATATATATATAAATAATATATAAAATATTATATATATAATATATATATATAATTTATATAAATTATATATTATATATAATATATAAAATTATATAATAAAATATAATATATTATAATATTTATATATATATAATATATATATAAATATATAATATTTTTATATATATATAAATATATTAATATATATATATAAATATATATAATATATATATATATTCTTTATATATATATATATATAATTATATATATTATATATATTTTTTTTTAAGTACCACCTCTATAGCTGGACTGGGGACCCTCACCCTCAGAGAAGACAATAAACGTACCTCAGGAAAAACTAAAGGTTCTCCCCGGAGCTGTTTGAATATTTCTTCTCCTACCACCCCCTATATATTTTTTATTCTTTTGTAACATTTATTAATAAACAAAATAAAATTTACAGAAAAAAAAAACATGAATACAATGGCACAATGTATCAAAGATCATGAATTTCCTCCAGCTCCTCCGAGGCTGGACGTGAGAGAAGTATGCAGCAAGCATTTCCCCTCTGGA